GTCTGCTCGTCAAAGTTGTGAATGCAAAAGGCAAACGGATCGTGACGCATATGACGGTGCGGGAAACCGGGAAGGACGCCGTTCTTTTCACAGGAGACAGCAAAGGCGAGACGGCGGATTTGAATGATATGATGGCGTTCAATCTGTACCGCGCCTGCCCGCCGCGCTCCTATGAAATCACCCTTGAGTGGGCGGGGAAAACCGTTCGAAAGACTTTCAAGGCGGGTATGGAAGCGCAGGAAACTTTGACTGTGACGCTGGACGCCGCCGGGTAATCGCGCTTGATTTTGTGCGCCGGGCGCAAATTGCTCTTGACAACGAAAATTTTTCATGCGATACTGAATCGTTCGTCGCAAAACGACGGACGCCACATTTTAGCGCGCATACCGCAGGCAAGGGCAATAGCTTCGTTACGAAGCATTGTAAGTCGATGGGGAGGCCAGAGGTTCGCTGCAATGCCTGAACGGGTAATCGTTCAAGCCTTGTTGGGTGCAAACTGAGCCTCTTTTTGCGTTTGAAGGCCGTTGCGCAGAGGAAAACAGCAAGCGAGTAAGCACTGACCGAAATCTTGAAAGCGCTGGAACGCCTGTATGATGCGGGCCCAAGCGTAACCAATCGTTTCAATGCGCGATAGAGCCGCGCTGTGTTCCCGCGCCGGAACGTTCAAGACGCTCGTCCGACGCCGGTTTTCAAAAGCGAACGCCGCTATCGAGAAAGGAGAAACTCTGACATGGCGAAGAAAAAAGACACCAAGAAAAAAGACGCGAAAAAGGGCAAAAAGAAGGGCAAGAAGTAGCCGGCTTTCCTGGAGCAGTCGCGTCACTCTTTTTGTAAAATCAAAGGCAAGGACAACGTTTTCTATGCGCTGCAAGTCGATGGGGAGGCCAGAATACGCGGGTGGAAGCGGATCAGATAGCAGTTCCGGTCTTGCCTGCGCGTTCTTCTGGTCTCCTTTCGCATGGAAAGAGCGCAGGCCAATTTCCATGCGGCCGTTTAATTTACGACTTTGAGGCAGAGACAATGCGCAATCGCAGAATGGCAGCGTAATTTGGTAGAACCCCCCATCTGGAACGCTGTCCGGGCCGTGAACGACCCGTCTGGGAGGCCTACGGCCAATCGTCCTGCGGACGAAAATGCGCGTCAGGCTGTCTTCTTGGCGTGCTTGCGTAGAAATTTTTTTCTATCCCGGAAAATTTTGGCAACCACAGGGGAAATGAAAAAAAAAAACGGTAGCGTGAGGGGGAAAACGGGGGGGAAAAAAACCCCCACGGGTTTCTCCTCCAGCGCTGCGGGGGGGGACACCCCCGGAAAGGGGCGAAGCGACCCGGCAGGGGGGGAGAGCGGGGGCGGGGGGGCGGCGCCGCCGGGGGCGGGGGGGGGGGGGGCGGGGGGGGGCGGCGGCGTGCTCTCCGGGGTGCTGGTGTCGGGGGGCGCGGCCGGGGTGTGGGGGGCGGGGGGGGGGGGGTGGCCCCCCCCCCGGCCGAATGAAGTCCGTCTCGCTGTAACGGAAGAGGGCCGCCGCTTAATCAAAAGCGCCCGGCAGGAACTGCGGCACATCGCGCATAACGACAGTGAAGACGTAGTTACGCAGATTCTGGGATGCAAAACGCTTCGGAGCTACAGCGACTTAAAAGTGGAAGCCGCCGAAATGGTTGAAGTTTATGTGCTGGAAACCGACATAGAACGAAAGTTGCTCCGCCGGGAACTCGACGGTTTGAACGGTCTTGATAGACGCCGCACAGCCTGATTTCGGGTTTCAAGCGGGTGCAATAACTAAAAAACGAACTTTTGATGGACAACTCTGGTTGCCAGAGCGAAGAGCAGCGATTTTAAGATCGCCTGTTTGTCGCAAGGGAGGCCGAAGTCCGCTGCAAACACGGGATGGTGTCACCATCCGGTAGTTTTGCGCGACTTCCGGCCTCCTTTTTGTTTGTCTGACCATTTTCACTGCGCAACTGCATTTTGATACCGCCGAACCCGCCGAAAGTAAAACTTGCGGTGGAGCGGCGGAAAAGGAGGAGGAGGCAAGACCATGCAAGACCTGTTTTACATCGTGATTACTGTGCTATTTTTCGTTATCGCTGCCGGCTATGCGCGCGGCTGCGACAAACTGTGAGGAGATGAACCGTGATTGACTACATCTGGACGGGCCTGGTGGCGGCCCTCCTCCTCGTCTATTTACTCTATGCGCTGCTGAAGCCGGAGCGCTTCTAAGGAGGAGATTTCTCATGGCGACACCGAATGGTGTGATCCAAATTTTGCTGTTCTTCAGCGTGATTCTGGCGCTGACAAAGCCAATGGGCGTGTACATGGCCCACGTCTTCGAGGGCGAACGAACGCTGCTCAGTCCCGTCCTGCTGCCCGTAGAGCGCCTGTTCTATAAACTCTTTGGTGTGCGCGAAGAGGACGATATGAAGTGGACAACCTACGCCTTCGCAATGCTGATGTTCAGCGCGGTCGGCATTTTGCTGACTTACGTTCTGTTGCGGGCGCAGGGAATGTTCAATTTCATGGGCATGAATCCCAAAGGCTTCTCCGGCAAAGACATGACGCCCGACCTGAGTTTCAACACCGCCAACTCGTTCGGCACCAACACAAACTGGCAGGCTTACGCGCCGGAACTGACCGTCAGTTACTTCTCGAATATGCTTTCGCTCGCCATTCATAACTGGATGTCGGCGGCGACGGGCATGGCGATTGCGGTAGCGCTGATTCGCGGGTTCGCCCGCCGCAACGCCGACTCCATCGGCAACTTCTGGAAAGACTTGACGCGCTGCACGCTGTATATTCTGCTGCCTATCTGTCTGGTCTATTCGATGTTTCTGATTCAGCAGGGCGTCCCGCAGAATCTCAAGCCCTATGTGGACGTGAAAACGGTAGACGCCACGCCCGCCACGAACGGAAAAGACAATTCGCAAAGCATTCCGCAGGGCTTTGTCGCCTCGCAGGAATCCATTAAGATGCTTGGCACGAACGGCGGCGGCATTTTCAACGCGAACTCGGCGCACCCTTACGAGAACCCGACGCCGCTGGTCAATTTCATTCAAATGATTTCGATTTTTCTCATTCCCGCCGGACTGACCTACACGTTCGGCAAGATGGTCAAAAATACGAAGCAGGGCTGGGCGCTATTCGCCGCAATGAGTTCGCTGTTCTTTGTCGGGGTTTGCGTGGCCTACACCGCCGAACAAAAAGGCAACCCGCAGGTCGCCGCGATGAACGTGGTGACGGCCCCGACCGATACGCAGCCGGGCGGAAACATGGAGGGCAAGGAAACGCGTTTCGGCATTACGAATTCCGCTCTCTTTGCCACCGTGACGACAGACGCGAGTTGCGGCGCGGTCAACGCCATGCACGATAGTTTCACGCCGCTTGGCGGCATGGTTCCGCTGGCAAATATTCTCAGCGGCGAGTGCATCTTCGGCGGAACGGGCGCGGGGCTTTACGGAATGTTGATGTACGCGATCATTGCCGTCTTTATCGCGGGCCTGATGGTCGGGCGCACCCCGGAATATCTGGGCAAAAAAATCGAGCAGTTCAGAAGTAAAAATGGCGATGCTGGCGGTTCTGGTTCTTGCCGCTGACATTCTCTGCTTCACGGCGCTGAGTTCAAACCTGCACATTCGCCCGCTCGCCGGAGCGCTAACGATTACCGACGCGAACAAGGCCGATGGCGAGAAATATGCCGCCACGCCTGCCAGCTGGAATCGCTTGAATAACGCGGGAGCCGACAACGGCGGATCGGATACTTTCTACGGCCCGACCTACAATAACCAGAACAACAGCGGGGCGCATGGTTTCTCGGAAATCTTCTACGCCTACACGTCCGCCACCGGCAACAACGGCTCGGCCTTCGCGGGAATCACCGTGAACACGCCGTACTATAACCTGACAATTGGACTCGCCATGCTGATTGGCCGGTTCCTGATGATTATTCCGCTGCTGGCGATTGCGGGCAGTCTGGCGAAAAAGAAAACCGTTCCCGAATCCGCTGGAACCTTCCCGACCGACTCGCCGACGTTTACCGTCCTGCTCGTCGGAGTCATCGTGATTGTCGGAGCGCTCACGTTCTTCCCGGCGCTGGCCCTCGGCCCGCTGGTCGAACATTTCCAAATGTTGAGTGGGACAACTTTTTAATCCACGAAAGACACGAAAAGACACGAATCAAGAAAAAGGGAAAAGAGGGAGGAGAAATCTACTCTCCCTCTCTGTAAACACTGTTTAAGTTGCATGGTTTGTTTGTCTTGAATTCGTGTCATGCGTGGATAAAGGAAAATACTATGGCTACGCAAATGCAGGCCCCGCCTACCCTTCCTGTGGGGACGCCGACGGGCTTTACTAAACCAAAAAACGCGCCGAAGTCGCTGATTGATCCAGTTATTATCAAACGGGCGGCGGGCGATGCGTTCCGCAAACTCGACCCGCGCCTTGTGGCGAAGAACCCGGTCATGTTTGTCGTGGAAGTCGGCAGCGCGATTACGACCTACTACTTCATCAAAAGCCTGATCACGCATAACGGACACGCCTTGTTTGTCGGGCAGGTATCGCTGTGGCTGTGGTTTACCGTCCTCTTTGCCAACTTTGCGGAGGCAATGGCGGAAGGGCGCGGCAAAGCGCAGGCCGACACCTTGCGAAAAGCGAAAACAGACTCTGTGGCGCGGCGTCTCCTTGCCAATGGCAAAGAGGAGCAGGTTCCCGGAACCGCATTACGTAAAGGCGACTTGATCGTCTGCGAAGCCAATGAGGTCATACCGGGCGACGGCGAAGTCATCGAAGGAATCGCTTCCGTAGATGAATCGGCTATTACCGGCGAATCCGCTCCGGTCATTCGGGAAAGCGGCGGCGACCGCAGCGCGGTGACGGGCGGAACCAAAGTGTTGTCCGACCGCATCGTGATACGCATCACGTCGAATCCTGGCGAAACATTTATTGACCGGATGATCGCTTTAGTCGAGGGGGCGCAACGACAGAAAACCCCCAACGAAATCGCGCTTTCGATTCTGCTGGCGGGATTAACAATTGTCTTTCTTTTTGCGACCGTAACTTTGCAACCCTACGCCATTTACAGCGTCCGGGCAGCGGGCGCAGGAACGCCGCCGAGCATTACCGTTTTGATTTCGCTGCTGGTCTGCCTGATTCCCACCACGATTGGCGGGCTGTTGTCCGCCATTGGAATCGCGGGTATGGATCGGGTTATGCAGCACAACGTGCTGGCAATGTCCGGAAAAGCGGTGGAAGCGGCGGGCGACGTGAACACGCTGCTGCTTGATAAAACCGGAACCATCACACTCGGCAACCGGCAGGCGAGCGAATTTATCCCGCTTCCCGGCGTAGAGATTAACGAACTCGCCAACGCCGCGCAACTGTCAAGCCTCGCCGATGAAACGCCGGAAGGCCGCTCGATTGTCGTGCTGGCGAAAGACAAATACGGCCTGCGCGGGCGGGAACTGGGCGACCGTGAAGCGGAGTTCGTTCCGTTCACGGCGCAAACCCGCATGAGCGGCGTCAACATGGGCGCCACAATGATTCGCAAGGGCGCGGCGGGTTCAGTCAAAAATTGGGTTATGGAGCAGGGCGGGCGCGTCCCTATGGAGCTCGACGACATCGTGACGCGCATTTCGTCTCTTGGCGGAACGCCGCTGGTCGTAGCGATCAATGACAAGCCACTTGGCGTTATCTACCTGAAAGACATCGTGAAAGGCGGCATGAGAGAGCGCTTCGACGAGCTGCGGGCAATGGGCATCCGCACGGTGATGATTACGGGCGATAACCCGCTCACGGCGAAATCCATCGCGGAAGAGGCGGGCGTAGACGATTTTCTGGCGGAGGCCACGCCGGAGGACAAAATGGCCCTGATTAAAAAGGAACAGCAGGGCGGCAAGCTGGTTGCCATGTACGGGCGACGGCACCAACGACGCCCCGGCGCTGGCGCAGGCCGATGTCGGCGTGGCGATGAATACGGGAACGCAGGCGGCGAACGAGGCCGGCAACATGGTCGACCTCGACTGCAACCCGACCAAGCTGATCGAGATCGTGGAGATCGGCAAGCAACTGCTGATGACGCGCGGCGCGCTGACGACGTTCTCGATCGCCAACGACGTCGCGAAATACTTTGCGATCATCCCGGCGATGTTCGTCACGACCTACGCTTCGCTGGACGCGATTAACTTCCTGCGCTGGGGGCCGCTGGGAGCGCAGTCGAACGCGAATTCCGCCGTTCTCGCCGCCGTAATCTTCAACGCGCTGATAATTATCGCGCTAATCCCGCTGGCGCTGCGCGGCGTCTCGTACAAACCGATGGGCGCGGGAGCCGTCCTGCGGCGCAACCTGCTGCTCTACGGCGTCGGAGGACTGCTCATACCGTTTCCAGGCATCTGGATCATTGACCGCCTGCTGACGATTTGCCATCTAGCGTAGGAATCTTTATCTACGAAATGACGTGTCCTCTGGTGTCATTTCGTAGATAGAAGGAGATTGAAATGTTACAACAACTTCGCGCTTCCATTATGAGCGTACTGGTTTTGACGATACTGACCGGGCTGATTTTTCCGTTTGTCGTGTTCGGTCTGGGGAAAGTGATCTTTCCGCATCAGGCGGACGGCAGTTTGATTGAACAGAACGGCGCGGTTGTAGGTTCGGAACTCATCGGGCAGAACTTCGCGGCGGCGGGCTACTTCCACCCTCGGCCCTCAGCGGCGGGCGGCGGCTACGATTCGACCGTTTCGGGCGGAACGAATCTTGGCCCGACCAGCGACAAGCTGCTGAACGGAATCCATAAAAAGTTGGCGGATGGCAAAACCGACGATCCGGATAACTTCGATGGCGTCAAGGATTTAGCGGCGGCCTATCGCAAAGATAACGGTTTGGCGGATACCGCGCCCGTTCCCGCTGACGCCGTGACCCGCTCCGCCAGCGGCCTCGACCCGGAAATCAGCCCGGAGAACGCCAACCTTCAGGTCGGGCGGGTCGCGAGGGCCCGTAATATGGACGAAAGCGCCATTCGCGCAGTGGTCGGGGAAAACACAGCGGGCCGGACGCTTGGACTGCTTGGGGAACCGCGTGTCAACGTCTTAAAATTGAATATGGCGCTGGATAAGATGAAGGCGCTGCCCGCGCCGCCAACGCCTGCGACGCCTGCGCCGAGGTAATTTCACCCCACCCCAACCCTCCCCTTCGCAAGGGGAGGGAGCAAATCCCCCTCCTTGCGAAGGAGGAGTCAGGGTGAGGCACACAGTTAGAAAATGTTTTTTGGCCTCCTCCCATAGCCAACCCCCGTCCGGTATGCAACAATGACGTTGCAAAAACTTCCTGACGGGGTATTTTTCAGACCACTATCGCGGCATCGAAAAACGATATAACCAGGAAGGATTGTTGACGCGACAAAGAACAAACTATTGAGAATGCGCCATGAACGATAGTACAAGCATTTCACAATTTATCTGGCTGCTGCTAATCGCTTTTTTTGTTGCGCTGATAGTGCGGCGCTTCAAGATTCCCTATGCGCTCGCGCTGGTTGTTACCGGATTACTCATCGGGTTTCGCCATCTGCTGCCACAGGCGCATCTGGAGCCCTCGGCGCTGTTCACGGTGTTTTTGCCGCCGCTGCTGTTCGAGTCGGCGATTAATTTGCGCCTGGGGGCGCTCCATCAGGACTGGAAACCGATTGCGATTTACACACTGGCGGGCACAGTCGCTTCCACGTTTATTGTTGGCTGTCTGACGGCGTGGATGCTGCATATTCCGCTGGCGGCAGGCCTGGTTTTCGGCGCGTTGATTTCGACAACCGACCCTATTTCGGTGATTGCGATTTTCAAGCGACTCGGCGCGGGCCGACGGCTGACGCTTATTATGGAAGCGGAAAGCCTGTTCAATAATGATACTGCCGTCGTGCTGTTTACCGTAATGCTGGCAGCGGTTGCGGGCGGCTCTATTTCCATTGGATCGGGAGTGGGACAGTTTTTGCAGTTGATGGTTGGTGGCGCGCTTCTGGGAACGTCCATTGGGGTCATTGCTTCGCGAGTCCATTTTGAGCTGGATGACCATCTTATTGAAATCACGCTGACGACGCTGGTGGCGTTTGGTTCGTATTTGATTGCGGAAACGATCCATGTATCCGGAGTCATGGCGGTCGTGACGGCGGGCATTGCCATTGGAAACTATGGAATGCCTTCTGCCATGTCGCCCGGCACACGGCTTGCCGTCGTCGCGTTCTGGGAATATCTGGCGTTTGTCGTCAACTCTATCGTATTTTTGTTAGTGGGCGTTGAAGTCGCTTATGTGGGCTGGAAGCATCATATTGCGTTCACTGTAGGCGCTATAGGCTTTGTTTTGCTGGGCCGCGCTGCGATCTATCCTCTTTCGCTGCTGGTTAATCGTGTTGGAGGCAGTGTGCCGCGCGCATGGCAGCACGTTTTATTCTGGGGCGGACTGCGCGGCGCCCTTTCGATGGCGCTGGCGCTGGGGTTGAGCCGGGACTTTCCTGCGCGGGATGCGCTTGTCGCCGGGACGTTTGGCGTGGTTCTGTTCTCACTGCTGGCGCAGGGCACAACGGTCGGGCCGCTCATGAAGCGGCTGGGATTGTGCGGCCCGGAGCGTCACGAACTTAAAGATCAGCGCGTTCTCGCGGGCGAAATGGTGGCTGTGCAGGCGGCGCTGGCGGAATTAGAGCGGCTTCGTTCGCATGAAGCGCATCCGAACTGGTCGGTGGAATTGCTGACGCAAAGCTATCGCGCCCGTGTGGTTGCGCTGGAGAAAGCGCTGGCCGATTTGCAGCCCGATCATAAGACGCTTCAGCAGGAGCAGGCGAACCGCGCCCATCGTCAGGCGCTGATGGCGGAGAAAAACGCTCTGCTGGAAGCCGAGCGTCAGGGATGGATGGAAGCGGACGACTGGCGCGATCTGGGGGCCAGAATTGACGCGGAGTTACTGGCCTTGCGGCTCAGTGAGGAAGCGCGTTGATTGCCTCATCGCTCTGAAGCGATGTATTCCCGTCCGCCAGAACAACTGGCGGAACGTTACGCAGCAAGGGCTGTTCTGTCCCTCACAACGATTTTTGCCTGATGTTTGAGCTTAATGAAGGCCTGCCGCCGCGCGAAATTTTGTATGGAAAGGCATAATAACATGGCGCATATTCTTGTCGTAGACGATGAAAACAATATCCGAAAGACCATTCAATTAACCCTTCAGCACAGCGGCCATACGGTTGAGACCGCAGCGGACGGGCAGGAAGCGCTGCAAAAATTTTATAGCGGAACCCATTACGATCTCATTTTTCTGGATCAGCGGATGCCGGGGCTAGAGGGGTTGACCGTTCTGGGACAGATGCGCTACGAAAGGCCGGAGGCGAAAATCATTATGGCAACCGCCGTCGGAACCATTGATCTAGCCGTTGAAGCAATGCGGGCGGGCGCGACTAACTTCCTGCGCAAGCCCTTTACGGCGGAAATCCTGCGCGGCGCAGTGGAAGCCGCGCTGCAGAACAAAACGCAGACGCCATTGAACCGGGACGGTCAGGCTGCGCCGCCTTCCAACACGCCCACATTTGGCATGACAACGATCAACGGGTTTCGGAATTGAATTTCAGCCGGGCGCGGGCGTGAAAATGGGCAGCGGAACCGGCTTTCAGTTCACCGTGCGAAATCCGGCGGGAGAAAGCCGAAAATGCGCCATCGTAATGTCTACTCTGGTAGTGGAACTGGTAAAGGCGCATCTGGATCGCGATGAGGTTCCCGGCGGAAACCGCTTCTGGCAGGCGCTTTGCGAAGAAACGTTAGCCAACTATCTCTGGCAAAACGCCGATTTTCCGCCGGACGATCTGCTGTCTATAGACGATTTTACGTCCAGTCTGCGCCGTTTTGTAGACAGCGTTATGACGGCGGGCTGACACATTTTTCAAATACTGAAAACGCCCTGCGTTTCTGAAAAGGATTTCTATGGCGCTCCTGGATAAGCTGCTTGGCAAACCACTTGCCAACCATGAAGAAGAGGAACAGAAGGTCGGGGTTATCGCGGGCATCCCTATGCTGGGACTGGACGCTCTGTCTTCAGCGGCTTACGGCCCGGAAGCCGCGCTGACGATCCTGCTCCCGCTGGGCGCGCTGGGGCTTGTCTATATTGGCCCCATTACCATTATCATCCTGATACTGCTGGCGCTGCTTTACTTTTCCTATCGGCAGACCATTGCCGCGTATCCCGGCGGCGGCGGCTCCTACACGGTCGCGAAAGAAAATCTCGGCATCCATGTCGGACTGCTGGCGGCGGCGGCGCTGCTGCTGGATTATGTTTTGAACGTCGCGGTGGGAATTTCGGCGGGCGTAGGCGCGTTAGTTTCTGCCCTGCCCGGATTGCAGACGCATACCCTGGCGTTGTGTCTGTTCATCCTTGTTTTCATCACGCTGATCAATTTGCGCGGGGTGCGCGAGTCGGGCATTGCCTTCGCTCTCCCGACTTATTTATTTATTGGCACGATGGGCGTGGTGTTGGCTATTGGGCTTGGCAGGGCCTTTCTGAGCGGAGGCCATCCCGTGGCGGTGGCTGCCCCTGCGCCCTTGTCGGCTGCCGCAGGAACCGCGACTCTTCTGGCTACTGTTACGCGCCTTTGCCAGCGGCTGCACCGCCATGACCGGTGTGGAAGCGGTCAGCAACGGAGTCACTGTCTTTGCTAAGCCATCGGTGCGCGGGGCGCAGCGGACGCTGACGGCCATTGTCGTGATACTGGGCGTTCTGCTGGCAGGCATCGCCTATTTGTCCCGCGCTTATGCGATTGGCGCGACCGACCCGGACAAGCCGGATTATCAGAGCATCATTTCGCAGTTAGTTGGCGCGGTCGTGGGCAGAGGCGTTTTCTACTACATTACAATTGCCAGTGTTCTGGCTGTGCTGGCTCTTTCCGCGAATACCAGTTTCGCGGACTTCCCGCGTTTGTGCCGTCTGATAGCGCAGGACAATTTTCTGCCGCGCGCTTTCGCCAATCGGGGCCGACGCCTGGTTTATACGCTCGGCATTATGGTGTTGACCGTTAGTTCGGCCCTGTTGCTGACTATCTTTGGCGGCATTACGGATCGGCTCATTCCGCTGTTCGCTATCGGCGCGTTTCTGGCGTTCACGCTGTCTCAGGCAGGTATGGTAGTTCACTGGCGGCGTAAGGGCGGGTCAAAAGTCCGTGTTCCTCTGCTGGTTAATGCGCTTGGCGCGTCGGCAACCGGAATTGCGCTGGGAATTATTCTGCTGGCAAAATTCGCGGAAGGCGCGTGGATTACGTTGCTGATTGTTCCGGCGGCCCTGATGCTGTTCCATCAGACCCGACGGCATTATGACCATGTGGCAGAAGATACGAACTGTCCGCGCCCGCTGAATTTAACTGGAATGGAGCCTCCGCTCGTCGTTGTGCCAATCAAGACATGGAACACGATTTCAGAAAAGGCGCTGCGGTTTGCGCTGGGGCTTTCGCCCGATATCGTTGTTGTGCATATCAGCGCGAACGAAGCGGAAGGCTTTCAGTTGCGGATGCAATGGGAAAAGTATGTAGAAGAACCGATACGTCAGGCGGGACTGCCGCAGCCGGGTCTCATGCTGATTTCTTCACCCTACCGCCGCCTGTTTACCCCCTTGCTAAACTATATCGGAGACCTCAAAGCCGAACATCCCAGGCGGCAAATTGCCGTTATCATCCCGGAACTGGTGGAAACACACTGGTATCAATATTTGCTGCACAACAAGCGAGCGATGGGGCTAAAGGCCGCGCTGCTGCTCAAAGGGGATCAGCAGGTAATCGTCATCAATGTTCCCTGGTATCTAAATGACAAGGGCGCGTGACGGCGCAAAATATGGAGGAAACGAAACATGACGCAGCCCGACGCCAACCGCGAAAAGAGGCCCGACCCGGAAGAGATTCTGGCCCGGGTGATGCGGCAGGAAAACCATCCGACCAAACGAGGCAGGCTTAAAGTGTTTCTTGGGTTCGCGGCGGGCGTCGGCAAAACCTTTGAGATGCTCAACGAAGCCAACCGCCGCAAGCAGCGCGGGCAGGAAGTCGTGATTGGCTATGTTGAAACGCATGGGCGTCAGGGCACGGTGGAGCAGCTGGGCGATCTGGAAGTTATCCCGCGCAAAAAAGTGGAGTATCGCGGCGCGACTTTCGAGGAAATGGACACCGAAGCGATCATCGCCCGCCGTCCCAGATGGGTTCTGGTAGACGAACTCGCCCATACCAACGTTCCCGGTTCGCTCCGTGAAAAGCGCTGGCAGGACGTGGAAGCGATTCTGGACGCCGGTATCAACGTAGAAACTACGCTGAACGTGCAGCATCTGGAAAGCCTGAACGACACGGTTCACGATATTACCAATGTGTGGGTGCGCGAAACCGTGCCGGACAAAATCGTTCGGGACGCGGATGAGATTAAAATGGTGGATATTACGCCCCGCTCACTAATCAATCGGCTGGAGCGCGGCGACATCTACAAAGCGGACAAAGTCCAGCAGGCGATGCAGAACTGGTTCCGGGAAGGCAACTTGAGCGCTCTGCGCGAAATCGCCCTGCGCGAAATCGCGCAGGAAGTGGACGATGATGTCACTGCCTATCGTAAAGACAAGCATATTCAGGACGCCTGGAATACCAGTGACCGCATCATGGTCTGCATTACGCCATCGCGCTCGTCGCTGCGACTGATCCGACGCGGATGGCGCATTTCGCAGCGGCTGCATGGCAGTCTCGTCGCGGTTTATGTGGAAACCAAACCGGGAACGTCGGAGGAACAGGAGATACTGCGGAACGATTTCGCGCTGGCGGAACGGCTGAAAATTCCCATTGTCACTTTGCAGGGCAATGTCGGCAATGAGTTAATCCGTTACGCCCGCGAAAACAGGATTACGCAAATGGTGATTGGACATTCCAGCCATTCGCGCTGGCATGAATTCGTGTACGGCTCTCTGGTTCATCGGCTTACGAAAGAGTTGCGGAGCATGGATATTCTCATTGTGGCGCAGCCGCAGGAACAGGCGGAATGAAACCAGATTTCGAGCGAAAATCCGGAGCAGGCGCCTCTTGATTGCCGACTCTTATATCTCATTATCGCCTGAAAATTCACTGTCTCCTTTCCTTGGCGAAGGCAAGGGTCAGAGTAACGGTCTGACAAGCCGTCAGTATAACTCGCTTCGCAAAACTTCTATAACTCTCCTTACGCAGTCGGGCCGTTGCCGGGTATTTACAATGCCTGCCCTCCCGTTCCAGCAAATGGTCGCCCGCGTAAGGAAAGTTCCTTACTTCCAGCCCCTGCCTCTGTAAATGCAAACCTCCGCAAGAAGGAGGGCATTGTGTCAGACGTCTGAACAAATGCTATGTCAGACGTCTGACATTCAGACGTCTGAACGATAATGCGCCTTGTTGCGGGAAAACGGCGCGAAAAGCAGAGGTGCGTGCGCTTGAAGAGCCTTAACTTGTCCGCGAGGGATGAAAGCGTCTCCGACGTTCCTCACAGAAGGGCATTGTGTCAGACGTCTGAATGTCAGACGTCTGACATGGCATTTGTTCAGACGTCTGAATCACATTGGTTCAGACGTCTGACACACAAGGCGCAATTCCGCCCTCATGTAACGCGTGCTTTCAGCGCCTGCTTTTCCTCTAACCAATAATTCCAGCGGAAGTCGCAGCCGCGCGAAAAGGCGGAGGCCCCGATCTTCACGCGGTCGCGTTCCCCCGGGGCCGCTGAGACGCGCTGGACGTTGGTTGGTCTGTTCTGTCTGCTCTGCGCAATGGGCGGAACTGTCGCGGGTAATTTTTACTGGAAGAGCGCTCTCGTCCGCACAATGTTTAACAGAGGCTTTGTTGACGCCCTGATACACCGTGACCCGCTCGCTTCTTTCACGCCGGAACTCCAGTTCGCGGACAAGCCGCATACCATCAACGTGATGTTCCTCGGCTGCGACTCCGATTGGGACCCCACAAGCCGGTGGCCCTGAAAAACACGCTGACCCGCAGCGATGCGATTTTGATAGCCCATATAGATTTTGATGCCAGAACTATTCATGCTCTGAGTGTTCCCCGCGATACCGCTGTGCATATTCCGCAGCGCGGCTACAACAAAATCAACGCCGCTCATGCGCTTGGTGGCCCGGAACTAACCAAAGAAACTGTTAAAAGCGTTTTCGGCATTGATGTTGATTATTACATGACGCTGAATTTCGATGGCTTTATGAAAGTCGTGGACGCGCTGGGCGGTGTAGACATCAACGTTCAGAAAAAACTGGATTATGATGACAACTGGGGCAACCTGCACGTTCATCTGAAACCGGGTTTCCAGCACATGAACGGCTACCATGCTATGGGCTACGTTCGTATTCGCCATTCCGATGACGATATTCAGCGCACCGCCCGCCAGCAGGATTTTCTGGAAGCCCTGCGCTCCCGCATCAAAAGCCCGGCCAATCTGTTGCGTCTGCCCAACGCCCTGAACGCCGTGACTGACAGCGTCAAAACTGATATGACGCAGGAGCAGATGATCACAGTCGCGAATTTCGCCCGTCTGCTGGATCGCAAGAACGTTGAGGTTGGAACCCTGCCGGTGACGGAAGGCCCCAGTTACGTCTATATCAAACGGATGGAAGACGCGGCGATTATCCGCAAATTTTTCTATGATGATGACCGGTTCGCGGAAGTCGCGGTAAATGCGCCCGGCGAAGATATTGTAGCGCGGTTGTCGCGCAAAGCGAAACATAAGCGGCATGGCAAACACGCTATAACGGTAGACGGCCCGCAGGACGACGACGGGCAACCGTTGCTTTCCAAAAAGACCCGCCGCCCGGGGGAGAAAAAGACAAACACCCCCCCCCCCCCCAAAACCCCCTGCGGGCGGCGCGCCGCGCCCCCCCGCGCCCGGCGCCCCGGCCCCCCACACGCCCGCCCCCCCACAAAAAACCCAACCACAGCCGCCGCCGGGCGGGGGGGGGGGGGGGGGGGGATGGCGGCGACAAAAGCGCGCCTCCGCCCGCAGCCCCGGAGCGCAATAAAGGCGCTGGCACAACCGACACAGGCGAAAAATGATGTGATAGGCCAATCCCTATTTCAGGTAACCTTCGGGCTATCGCCCGCGCAGATCATTGGCGGAGCGTTGTACAGCGGTAGGGTTCAGCCTGCTGTAATGGTGGCAGCATCAGACTTTAAACAGTGAAAATTCTCCACTGCGAAATAACAGGCCGAAGTAACAGTCCACTCTTGTGGGAATCTTTTATTTTTTTCGACGTAATCAAAAGCATGGACACTCTGGCTCAACTTTCTAATGACGAACTCGTCGCCCTCATCACGCAGCAGGCGGAGCTCATTGGCTTTCTTCAGCAGCAAGTGGCGGCGTTGCAGAAAGAAATCGAAATGCTCAAAGGCGGCGGCAAGGGAACGCCGCTGTCCAAGCCCCCATCGCCCGATGGGGTCAAGCCCAACACCGCGCCCGCCCAAACCGCCGAGGCCCAAGCGCGCAAGAAACGCCCCAACGCCTTCACGCGCCCCCGCCAGAGGCCTACCGAAGAAATCGTTCACACCTGCTCCCACTGCCCCGACTGCGGACGAACCCTTGCCGGCGGCAGCGAGTACAGCCGCCGCCAGATCATCGAACTGCCGCAAATCACCGTGCGGGTCATTGACCACATTGTGCACGCCCGCTACTGCGGCGTGTGTCAGAAACGCTGCGTTCCTGCGCCCGACCTTTCCGAAATCGCCGTCGGTCAAAGCCGCTTCGGACAGCAGGTTCACGCCCTTGTGGCGTACTTGCGGCAGGTCGGACGCCTGCCCGTTCGCACGATTGCCTCCCTGCTTTCGGCGCTGTGCCATCTTAACGTCAGCGCGGGCGAAGTCGGCGAAATGCTGGCGCGGGTGGCGCAGCAGGGAAAAACGCCTTATGCCGCCTTGCAAAAGCAACTGCAAGACAGCGCTTACGTTCACGGCGACGAGACGGGCTGGCGCGAAATATTTTTTTCTGTTTTAAGTATTAGGTTAATATTTCGCCCTAATTTTATTAATAATATAATAGAATCTTCTATAACTATAATATTAATTTTAAATTTTAAAATAAGATTTTTAAATCTTTTTTTATAATTTTCTTAAATTAAAAAATATAAAATTAAAACTTTAATAAACTTTAAAAAAAATAGTTTAAAATACTATAAATAATAATATAAATCTTAATAACTTGATTTTTAGTACTATTTTATTTAATTAAAGTTATAGATTTAACTTAAGTTAATTATCTTTATCTTTTAAATATATTATATTAAGAACGTTAAAAGCTTTAAGTAAGGAACCTATTATTTATAACTTTATATTTTAAGTATCTATATTATCTTTATACTTATAAAATATAAACTAAATAATAAATAATATATAATTAAATTAGTAAGTATATATTATATTTAATAGACTACTACTAGAATTTAATAGCTAATATATTAAATTAACTTAACTATTTAAATATTATTAGGGATTAAATTTAAAGTAAATAGCTGCAAAAGACATAAAATATAATATATTAAGAAAAAATACTATTATAAAATTAGCTAATTACTTTGCTAATTTTATTTTAGCTTTTATATCTTAATAATAGAAAGATAATTTAAATTATATATTTAATATTAATTTTTTAAATAATATAAATAGCAGTAATAATACTATTATTAAGGTTACTAGTTTAAATAAAATAATAAGTAATAATTTATAAATAAAGCTAATAGTTAATACTAGAGATAAATAATATAGTATAAATAATCTTATAAAATATAAAAAACTAGTTTATAAAGATAAAAATACGCTAACGCTATATAGAGTATTTTAAAAATCTATTATAAATAAATTAAATTCTCTTAGTAAGCTTAAAAAGTATTAATTCTAATATAAAACTTATAAAATCCTTTAGAATTTATTTAATAACTTTAATAACCTTTTAAATATAATTACTAATATATCTGCCTTTACTAAATAAGCCTAAAAGTATTTATTTAAAACCTTTTAGCTTTTTATTTTAACTATTTAAAAAAATCCTTCTTAGATAAGGAAAGTATATTATTAATCTTTTTCTATAAGAAAATAGAAGCTATTAATCCTTTTCTAGGAAAGACAAATAGCTACTAAAGCTTTTAAATAGCAGAGGGAGAGCTATAAGCAATTTCCTTTTCAAAGGAAGGAAAAATACTTATTATATTACTTTTCTAGTTAGGAAAAAATAGCTCCTAAACTCTTTAAATAAGGGAAAAACGCTTAATAAATATTTTAAAGAGGGAAGAATTATTATTAAATTAAAAAATTAAAAGATTATTATTTTTAAACTTTATTATTTTCTTTATATAGCTATAATAGCTTAGAAAGAAAGTAGTAGATCTAGAGCTATCTAGTTTCAAAACTTAATAAATAGCTTAGTATATCTTAGTAGGTATTATATAGCCCTTAAGGGCTCTAAGACCCTATAAGTAGCTTAGTATATCTTAGTAGGCATTATATAGCCTTTAAGGGCTCTAAGATTTTATAAGTAGCTTAGTATATATTATATAGCCCTAGCGCTAAAGCGATCCTAGAAGTAGCTTAATAGGAGATTATTAAAGGATAGTAAGGAGGCTAAAAGGGATTAAAATAATTATTCCCGCTAAGGTATTAAAGATTAATATTAATAACTAAGGCTAGTAAAATCTAATAAGATAATATTTAATAGCAAATAAATCTTAAAATAAATAAATAACTAATAAAATTATAAAACTAAAAGCTATTAAAGGGGGGGAATAAATTTTAATCTATTTTAAAGCTTAATAAGCAAATTTTTATATATTGGAAAGAGATAAAGCTCTACTTTTTTAAAATTTTTTTCTTCTTTTAAAAAAGGGAAAAAAATAAAATTTATTAAAGGATAAAAAGGATAAAAGCTAAAGAAGCTTTAGAAAAAGGATTAGATAAGGATATAAAAAAGTATATTATTAGGGGGGGATATTTTGCAAAGTATTTAACCTTTTAGATCTTTTTTTAAGATTATAAAGAAGTTTTTTATTAATTAAAAAATTCTAAATAAAAGTAATTAAAATTAAAAATCTAAAAATATTATTGCTGCCTAATTTAATTACCTTTTTTTAAAAAACTTAGTTTAGATATATTATTTTTATAAATAAATAGTTATAAAATTAAAAGTAAGAAGCAGCTAAGTTAGTAGAAAAGGATAAGAAGAGAGGGTATAATTAAATTTATTTAACTATTAATTAAAATACTATCTTTTAAAATATTAATATAGAAAGCTATTAGCGGCAGTAATTTTAGTAGCTCTTAACTTATTTTTATTTATCTTTATTAATAATAAAAAAGGGGGGATAAAGGGGATTAAAAGCTTTTTTTTTTATTTCTTTTTTTTATCTTTTTTTTTCTTCTTTAAGGAAAAAGATAGATTATAGGAGCATAAAAGATCTAATAGATAGAGGGGCTTTATTAGGTAGGGGGACTAGTCTTTAAGTAATAAACTACTCTAAAGTTAATTAGATATAAGAAAGGAAAACATAGGAAAAACAACTAAAAAAGGGGAGGGGGGATAAGCTTACTTACTAAAGCTAAAGGATTTAAAGGAAGGCGGAGGCAGCAATATAATAAGAAGCAATAGTAAGGTAGGAAAGATAAACCTTATTATCCCTAATCTTAAAAAGGGCTAAGTATTTAATAGTAAAGGTTAAAGGCTTAATAAAAAAGAAGTACTTAAGCCTAACTCTATTAAAATCTTTAGTAGTAAGGAGGTAATTAATTATATTATATTAAAGATTATTAACCCTAACTTTACTAAGGGAAAAAAGCTATTTTAGCTTAGTAAGGGATAAAAGATCTTTTATAGAAGAGGTAGAAAAATTAAAGCTAGCAGGGAAATAGCTAGAAGCAAAGCTTTTAAAGGCAGAATAAGTGAAGGCAAAAGCTACCCTAGCTTAAAAGAAACTAGAAAATCTAAATTAAAAAAAAACTAGAATAAAAGAGGGGAAAAGGCAAGGGCAAGGTATAAAACTATTTAGTTAAATTAAAAAAAGCGCTTATTAAAGCTTATTAAGCTTTTTAAGGGGATATAAATATTAATAAAGTAAAAGTTATTTTTAAAAAGGTTAAAAGATTAATATATAAACTTAATAACTTATTTAAAGGGGTAAAGCTAAAGCTTTAGCTAGTAAAGCTAATATAAATTAATTTTAAAATAATATAGGAATAGTATATAAGTATAGTCCTTTTTATAAAGTTAATAATAATAAAGTTTATAGAAAAGTAGGTAAATAAAATTAAATATATTTAGAGGAATACTAAATAAATATAAAAGCAAAATAAAACTATAAAATTATATTATTATTATTAGATATTCTAATAGCTATTAGGATACCTAATAAATATTAAAGACCTAGCAAAAAATAAAATATAAAAAACCTTTTAAAAGCAGATAATAAAGTATCTAAGCTATAAAAAATAATAAAAGATTTTTATAGATTAATTAGGGGTAAGAGTATTAGCATTCCTACTAGTAATAAAAAAAGCTAGGATATAATTTATAAAAAATTATATTTAATTAAAGAAAAATAAAAGCGCTTCTAATTATTTAATTTTTAAAGAATTAAAAATTTAGGTAGAAATAATATAGGAATTCTCTAAGTATTATATAGGGATTAAGGCAAGGAAAGCCTTTTTACTTTAGATTAAAGAGGTAAAAAAGGTTAAGTAGCTTTTAAAAGCGCTTTATTTTATTTTAAAAATAAAAGTAATTAAGGAAATTTAAAAGATATTAATAAAAAAATAAGTAAAACTCTTTAAGCTAGTAGGGGAGAGTTTCTAAGCTCTATTAGATACAAAGAAGCTAAGTTTCCTAAATAGATTAGGAATAACTCTAAAGCTAAAAGGTTCTTATTTCCTAATAGGAATAGTAAGAATCTTTAAAGGAAAAAAAGATATTTTAAAGGGATTAATATTTTTAGCTAAAATCCTTTTATTAAAGGCATTAGTATTAATGTTAAAAAAATTAATATCTTTAGCTAAAAACCTTTTATTAGAAGTATTAGTACTAATATTAAAAGGATTAATATCTTTAGCTAAAACTTTTTTATTAAAAGTATTAATATTAATATTAGAAGCATATAAGCTATAAAGAAAAAAATTTAATAAAACTATAGAAGCTTTTTAAAATAGGTTAAAAACTTTTATAAACTCTTCTTATAAAGAGGGTAAGTTTTTTAAAAAACTTTAAGGTTTTTTATAAAAGTAGCTTTAAAAGATTTAATTCTAGAAGGAGGGACAATTATAAAGCTTTAATATTAATATAATATAGCTTTTTAAATATATAATCTAATTTGTTTATAGAATATAAATAGGCTTAATAAAAATAAATAATAAAAGATTAATTATTAATTACCCTTTAGAAAATTAATTTTTTTAAAAATATATACTTATATATATTATAGTTCTATTATTAAACTTATATTATTATTATTAAAATAAACTATAATATATACCCTCTTACTTTTCCTATACTAGCTTTATAATTGCATTAGATATCCTATATTTTAATAGTATAATAAAGGGTTAAATAAAGTAAAAATATTTTATAGGGAATAAAACTAATAAAAGAGCTTTTACTTTAGATAAAACCTAGAACTTCTTATCCTATAGAGGGCTAATAACTATAAAAGGGGAAAAAGTAAATTAAAACCTTTTAACTTAAAATTTAGTAAATATTAAAAAAAGATATTATATCTAAGAAGCATGTTATATAAACTCCTATAAGTATGCTAATAAAATAAAATTCCTATTACCTATTTAAAATAGCAGAAAAAAAGCCCTAATAAATAAAAAAGCTTTAAAATAAAGAAAAAGAAAACCTATAACTAGAATTAAACTAAAGACTCTAATAGAAAAAATAAAAAAAAAGTAAGTAAAGAACTAGAGGAGGAAAAGGGAAATAGGTATATTAGTTAGCTAGGCGCTCTAGAAACTATTTATAACTAATATAATTAAGAGAACTAAATACTTAGCAAAGACTACTTAAAATTATATAGGGGGGCATAGTCCTAATAGGTTAGAATTTATAAATGGAAAAGAATTAATAACTATAAATAAGAATTATATAAAACTAGCTATAGAAGATTATAAAAAAGTATAATAGCCTACTTTAATAAAAGTTAAGCCAAATCTTATAATATAAGCTAGGTATAAGTAATAAATATACTAATAGAATCTTTTAACCCTAATCCTTATTTTTAAATATACTCTTTTAATTTCTATAATTTAAAATAACTTAGGTTATAGAGTTTATTTTTAGAAAGTTTTTTAATAAAGCTATTTAATTTAATCTTATAATTATAACTTTAGTAAAGTAGGAGCTAGCTAGCCTTTTTCTTATTAAAGACCCTTAGTATATTATATAACTATTTTAATATTTTAACTTTAAACTCTTCCCTTATTAAAGCTAAAGCTATTTTATTTAAATTTATTAAGATTT